GTAGAGGAATTCCCTGCAGAGGTTCCAGCTGTGCACCATGATGGCCAGGTAAAGCAGCATTCAGCCTGAAGCTGCAGGGAACAAATGGAAACTCTAGTCCTCGGTTTATCATGTAGCACCTTTGATCTGGGTTGACGTAACCCAGCCACACCTTGCTCAGCCCTTTGTGATCCAGATCATCATAGGAATAGGCGGTACAGGAGAATGTTAGGTGGGCCATATATCCATAGGGGCGCCCAAATGAGGGAAGAATACTTTTTTTTTTATTTGTAACTTTTTCTATTTTGATGCTCTTATTTAGAAATATTACCAAACTACCCACAAAAGCATAATATGTAGCATCGGCGCATCAACCTAATAGCCAATAAATAGCTATAGTTAATGCTGCATTCACATGAAATCAGGCAGATGGCAAACTGGATATCATTTTAGTGGATAAGAGCAGGACGGTAAAATAAGTTGAGGCCGGCAGAGTATACCAGTGACGGCAGTGGGCATTGACGTCTATAGTTACATTTTGTTTACTTTTTTTCCGTCATCCACAGTGGAATTTACAACCGATGTTACATAAGTGCCTCCCTTAAAAGAGAAAAGCTGCATTTTATAGCTGAATGCATTAGTAGAATAATTACATAACATAAATAATATGTAATAATTTCAACTGTTTCTACTGTCTTAAAATATGTCACATCACAACCACAGACTATATTTCCTCCTTATTCCTTTATTTGATCCAACAAAAAGGCCTCACTTTGCCACTGGAATAGAAAGGTGATTGTAATTGCAAAGTTCACGGAGGTCAATAAACAGAGAATCTGTTTCTAAAGAAGCAATTGATTCTACAAACCAATGAGCAGACAGAAGGGACAGAAGGGACAGTAATTACGCCGTGAATGGACAAAGGGAATCAAATTGGTCCCATCAAAGTTGCTTCAGAAGAAAACATATTTTCCTTTGAGACACAAACCAAATGCAAAGTTAAAAGTCTTTCTTACCGTAACCTGTAACTACCTCCTTGAAAAATATGCCATGCAACCATAAGCATGCTACAGAAGAAGACACGATAACGTTGTGGTTTCTCAGTGATACATCATATCTTACCAGAAATACGCACCCATATATTTTCCATTTCAGTTATTTAAATCCTGAAGCCAGAGGAAGTGAGCGTGCCATTTTTGTACGCCTGTAAAACATTTAGTAGCGTGGAATTAAAACCTATGTGGGTTTAAGCTGGGGACACGTCTCCATGGCAATGTGGTGGTTACGGTGACTAATTGGTGTAAATGTTGATCTTCACACAAATCTTGATTTGTTATCTGTTGAAGCTTCAAAGTGCATAAAGATTTTGCCAGCTAGACATATATTTAAGAAGAATGGAATACTAAAATGATATATATATATATATATGGCACTTAATAGTGAGAAGAATGTGCTTTATATGAAACAGTAATAAAATACCATACGGTAAACAGGTATTAATATTTGTATTATAGTAAAACTATAGTAAAGGTATAACGTAGTTAAATATACCCCTGTGATGTTGATAGTATTTCCTGAGAATCAACACCTCAGTCTGTTAACTATGTCAGTAACCAAACTGTAAAGTACTGATAAATTACTCTGTGGTGACATGTTAGTTTTGTGTGTATATTGACAGATTCCTCACATGTATTCCTCACATATTTAGTAAACACCGTTGTGGTTTATACATTGTGAGTGCAAACACATGCTTGAGACAAACATGCACACAATCTCCATGTACTTCAATAACATGCTCACAGCTATTGCCAGGATGAGAGTGGGAAGTGCGGCTGAATGATCTAATAATGCTGACGCTTTATTAAATAGCGCCCTCAAGAGGCCTATAGGGGCATTCAAACTAAAGAGATGTCTCCTCCCCAGCTGCTGGCAAGCTGCACATCCAGCTTGCCAGCTGTAATATGGGAGAGGGGAGGCTCGTGCTAACTAGGCGTCAGGTCTGATTATGGTGATCACAGTTGTGAGAAGTCTTGAGGCTATAGGAGCTTTATATGGAAAACTGGGCTGAGAGAGAGCATATTAAGGGCAGATGGTGTGTGTCTGTTAGATGGTTGGATGTGAGCGTCTGACTGTGATTATGTGTTTGCTGCATCTCCATGTTTGTTGATTATAACCAGAAGCCTGTTTATCTGTCTAATCCTGACTTTGGTTCCAGTCCTTCAGTTTTAACTCATAAGACACCAAACTGTCAGCTGCTGTATTCCCATCAGTCCATTGGCTCCTTCTTCATTCTCATATCAACCAGTCAATATTATTTCTACCTTAAAAAGTGTTGTAACAGATATTCACTTGAGTTGTACCCATTAGCTTCTTACAATTGCATGCATCAGTTTAAAGAAATATTGTACATCTCATTGCACCGCAGGGTGTGTAGTAGCTAAAATTAAATTGAGTCACTTAATCCATTGCATTTTCATTAAACTAGTAGGAATTGCTGCATGTTTTCTAAAAAAGTACATTGGCTCACATCTTTAGCAGCACTCTCCAGCAAATGTTCACAATGCATTTTTACATTTCTTCTCCAGCTTCAAGGTTGACTAATTAAACCGACGAAGGTTGTAACCAGCTGGAAATGTCTTGCCTCTTGCCTTTTCTTTCAGTTTTACCAATCACTACGTACGAGATGTCATTAAAACTACTCATCACTTTTAGAGCAAAGTGGTGAGAGAAGAGCTAATTATCTCTATCCTTTGTCAAACGAGGCAGGCAAAGTCCACAGCTATGTCTCTTTGGGCCACAGTATTGTTGGAGTGTTCAGCAGAGGCAACAGCTTTATTTAATCACAGCAGTGGTCGTGGACAGGATGTGTAGGGAGTGCGAGAATGAATAAAATGCATTTTCTCAACTGTAGTGGTTAGAGAAGAGTGCACTGATTTGACACAGTAAAAACGCAAGGTTCGTCATAACCTTCTTATTTGAAAGCAAGAGTTCGGAGCTGATCTTCTTCTGAACAAAAGCACAAACAGTGATCTCTTCCTCAAGACCCAAAGGACAGAGGAGGAGACTCAAGCACTCACTGCAGCTATTGTAGTCCATGTGCTGATGTAGCCACATTGCTATCAGCTGGTGTTAAATTGGCTTCACGGTGGAGAAATTGTTGAGATGTCCGTAAGCAAAATGTTTAAAAGGTGGGACTGATGACACTCACTATTCGCTACTTGGGCTCGTTACTAGAAATGAATTCCAGTCACAGTTTTAACGTTTCCTGTGGCTCAGTTCTGAGGTGTCTCAAACTCAATTGATATGTTGTTGAAGCTGCACTAATCAATTTGTTTTTAATATTAACACTGGGTCAAATTATTATGTGTAAAGCGAGAGATGTTAGTGACAAACGCACAGAGAATTATCACCCAACTCTTCAGTTTCCCAGAGATCTATGATACGTGTTAATGTCTTTCAACGTTGTTTTGTTTATTTGGGTTCACAACTTTACACCAGCATTGATTCCAGCAGCAACAGGAAGCTGCTTTCAGCAAGCAAGCTCCTATAATTCCTACCTATCAACATCTCCAAACAGCAGACCGACAGAGTTAGCGTCTGGCCAATAAAATCAACTAATACTGCATACGTATATTAATCTTTGTGATGGAACATTTAAAAATAAACCAGTACATTTGACTCGTTCGGGCAAACATGTCCTGATTGACATTGCCAGTAAAGTCAGTGCAAGCAGAGCCATAATGGTCATCAAGATGCAAGACTGAAAAGGTAAAATGCAGCAAGTATTACACACGGGTGTACACACAATGAGTCGATACACACTGAACTAACACATAATTTACACACAAAAATCTGTGTATTGCATCAAACAAGCAGTAAAGTTTGTCTCTGTGTGTGACATGTATTAGATTAATATATTAGTTTCATCAACTCTGTAGCATACAAACATATTTATAGCAGTACAATACTTTAGGGTGCCCTAAAAACTACACGATCAGTGACTGAAGGAAATAAGATTGTGTCTATGACTAAAAACTTTACCTGTTTCTGAAAGATCCATAGACTCTTGCTTCCATTGAACTTGTTATGAAGTAGAGAGGTGATACTGACCTGTTGTTGCAATGTGAGATACAATTAAGAACAAATGGTGTCTAATAAGAACCTGTGGGAGAAAAATGTATTTGTGTCTTGAAATATATTTGTGTAAAATCATATCTATAATTTGAAATGTATATGTAATGTATATTCACATTCATACGGTGATATTGGCCTGTGTCATTGTCATATGTTATTCACATCACTGAGGCAGGGTGTTTGTGTTCTTTTGTCCGCATCAACCATGTAACCTCTTTGACACGCAGGTAAAGCAAAGTTCAATAAAGCAACTACTTCACAATTGTGTGCATAGGAAACAGGATGCTCTGTCAGGGGGTGAAAGAACGACCAAGGGATTAGGAAGAGACAGGGAGTCTAGGTTTCACTGTACGAAAATATGCGAAACTCAGCTAAATGTAAATATGCACGAACCAAACTCATCAGTGGGAGGATTTGCTTGTTAACCGTCTCTCTGGTTCAGACGCATCGAGTAGGGGAGTAAGCATAGAGGCCTTGGAGCCTGGGTGAAGATAGAAGGGGGGTGAAGCAGATATACAAGTAAAGCAGGTTTTCCAACAGAGGGGAAAGCAAGAACCGGTCACTACGACCTGCTGCCAGATGCAAACTCAGAAGAAGACGAGTGGGGAAGGAGACTGTGATTAATCAAAAACCCTCTGTTTTGACATGTCCGTGGTACACATTGTAACTTGTCTATGTGGGAGTTTAGGGACCAAGAGCGAAGCTGGAACCTGGGGAGGGAGGGAGACCCCGACTTAGGGCAGAATGGAGGTATAAACCCTTCTTATCTGGCTCTGACCCCAGGCTCATGGCCAAAAAGAAGAAAAAGAAATATAATTCACAGTAGTCTGTAGGTCTCGTATCCTTGTGCGTTATGTGCGCATCTGATTTTTTCTTTCTTTGTGCAGCTCTTTGCCATTTTTGCATTTGCAACATGTGGGGGCTACTCTGGTCAGCTGCAGGTTAGTGTTGACTGCATGGAGAAGGCCAGAAGCAACCTCGGTATTGGCATCGACTTTGCTTATCCTTTCAGGTGAGTAAGTGACAAGGTGCGTGAGGAAGCCAGCCACAATGTTACTTGAATGAATATTACTTGAGTGTTATCTGTCAACGTTCAGTGTCTCTTCACATACACAAGTCTTTTCTTCTGCCTTTCTTAACACACATACATCAGTGCAATCTGTACAGAGTATGAGTAGCTTTTACAGCTCAGTGCAGTACAGTGGGATCCCTCCTCTGAGGTATGGAACCATATTTCAGTTTTCCACATGGAGAACTAATAGTTTTATGGGAATTCACCAGCAAAAACCATGACCGTTTAATGTAATTTGAATAATACTGTAGAATGAAATGTTCTCATAGCCTTAATGGGCAATGCAATGTTAGTGGAAAATCTGCTAAATTATTTTTCTTTTATGTAAAAATCATGATTTAGCCAACATAGTCAATATATTTGTAAGCAATGTGGTTACTTTAAGAAACAACACTGTGGCCTGACATCTGCAGGTCTCTGTGAAATAATGTAGGAGGTTATACAAAAATAACATGTGTAGGTGGACACAGGTAGGATTATTTCATTAAAAGCAGCAGATAAAACTGAAACTATCTGTATTGCAACAATCTTATTCACTCAAGACTGGGTGAATAAGAGAGTATGCTTTTTTTCTGACTTGTGTGAACTCACTTTTAAACTTAACATACGACATTACGAGGCATTCAGTTCCCGCAAGTTGATCGTTTCAATGGTTTTAATTCCTTTCAGCTGCAATCTGCAAAGAAACATAAAATGATTAACTTCCTGGTGTCATACTGTAATAAGGATTGTTTCCACTCATTAAATGTTGTTAGAGGTATTATGCTAAAAGTCAGAAAATGTCACACAGGCAATAGTTAAAGACAGGGATTTTAAGCACTATATCATCATTTACAAAGACCTCCTTTGGTGAAACGTATCCTGGCAAAACAATGCTAGATGCACCATTTTGTTGAAATGGGTTTGACCCCTGTATCTCCCTCTGTGTGTATCAGGTTGCACCAGGTGTCCTTTGAAGCGCCCGCGTGTGAGGGCATTAGGACGGAACGCGTGTTCCTCATTGGAGACTATTCATCCTCTGCAGAGTTCTTCGTCACCATTGCGGTCTTCGCCTTCCTGTATTCCCTCATGGCCACCATTGTCTACATCTTCTTTCAGAACAAGTACCGTGAAAACAACCGAGGACCACTCGTTGTGAGTACAGCGGACTCCGACTGAGGACATTTTCAGTCTTTAGTGGGTTGTTACTCGACATCATACAATCTTACCCTGTAATTCTCAATTAACACTATTCCTCTGTTTCCATAATACTGACTCTGCCAAAGGAATCATGATGCTAGACATACAAAGCAAACCCCATCATGCAACTACTACTTTCACGAAGTAGTAAGAAAGTATTGTTCTGGTTTCTTGAGCTTAATTTTTTCCATATTCTGCATCTTCTCTCTTACATGCCATCAGGACTTCATAGTGACAGTGGTGTTCTCCTTCATGTGGCTCGTCAGTTCCTCTGCATGGGCCAAGGCTCTGTCTGATGTGAAAATGGCCACTGATCCTGATGAGGTGCAGCTCCTCATCTCTGCCTGCAAAGTCCAGACTAACAAGTGTGGCTCTGTTTATGGACCACGCTGGTCCGGACTCAACACCTCAGTGGTAGGTTCAACGGATGTGTGTCCCAAACTATGGTGTTTAAAAAGCAGTTATAACGGAAGCGCTGAAAGAACTTGATGCACTGAGTGAATTTGATGTAGCAGCTAAAGTTCTGAAATGACTTGAAATGCCCGCTGAAGTGTAAGTGGTGAGTTGAGTTGAGCTGGAAATCCTGAAAGATATTAGTGCCAGTTCAAGTGTATGAACTGAAAAAAGATGCCACTTGAAGTGTAAGCGCTGAGAGCAGTTGGTGTAAATTGTGTATGAACTGTTGAAATTTTGAGAGCGGGAGACGTTTTTATTTTTTGTTCAAAGATGAAAACCTGAGACCCGAAATGGTTTGAAGTGATCAGTTGAAGTATGAGCATTGAAAGGAGTTGAAATGTAGAACAGAAAGAGTTGAATGTAGCTGAAATGGCGTGGGGTATGTGTAAGCGGTGAAAGTCGTTGAATTTGTCAGGTGACGTTGAAGTTGAGGGATGCTGAAGAGAAGTTGAATAGAGCCACAGATTCTTTTGAATTAAAAATATGTAATAATTTTGAATATTAAAAAAATGATGAATGATATGAACAATTTGAAAAAAGAGGCCCACCATTCTACAGAAGCTGAACATTTTTTTTTCAAGTTTGAATACAATTTCCATGTGCGTATAGTTGAAGTAGTTCAAGAATAATAATAGCACACAGAGGAATAAAAATAAAGATGTAAGAATACAAGTATTTGAGTGTGCATAGCTGTCAAGAATTTCTAATTTGCTTAACTTTGCTTTGTTTCATTCTCTTTCCCTTCAGGTTTTTGGATTTCTCAACTTTGTTCTGTGGGCTGGGAACATCTGGTTTGTCTTTAAGGAGACCGGTTGGCACAAGGGTGCTTCGAAGTTAGCAGGCGGGGCATCTGAGAAACAGTCCGGCACCTTTAACCAGCAGCCTTTCAACGAGGGAAGCTTTGACCAGTCAGGGAGCTACAACACCCAGGGAAACCTCAGCCAGCTGTCCGAGTACAGCCAGGTGGGAGGGCCCACCTCCTACTCCAATCAAATGTAGCCGTGCCTTTTTGATTCGTGACTTCTGCATTTAAAACCAGAGCAATCAAGGGGGGTGATGGGAGAGGTGGAAAGTTTGTCAAAAACAGATGTAGTCATAAAAAAGTCATCAAAGGCATCAAAGTACACCCTTTTGGAGATACAAGTATTGTTGGGTATTGTACAAAATTATTAGATTTAGCCTTTTAATCCTTCTCTGTCAGAAGTGTTGTTTGCTGAATGTTGTATTTCTTGTAGTTTGATACTCATAAGTGATGGTCTCTATCTCTGTGCTTGGTAATTGACATTCACTGTTTTGACTGGATTTGCACTGTTGTGGATGGAAAAAGTGCTCTGTGTTTGTATAATTCTTCAAGTTCCAAAAATGGTGTCGACTCAGTGCATGGTGTCGTATCTGTGCTTTTTTTGAAACACATTTTAACCTCTGAAAGTTTACAAAAATCATACTGCCCTGACTCATTACTGACTATTACATGTACAGTATATTATTTTTTTCTAATCTAACTGGAACTATATTTTAATGAGTATTTCTAATTCAGACACAGATTCAGAATATAATTTAGTGAAATGTATGTGTTATATTTATTATGACAAATACATTCAACTCATGTCTGACATTGATCATGTCAGAAATTTGAAACACTTAAAGCAATAGCTGTACTCTGCAAAATACACTACACAAGGGTTGTTCAGGACAAAAGTACAGTATGCAACCATTGCAGCATGTTTCTTTCCAGGGTTTTCACTTCTTTATCACACTGCCATATTTATTTATTTATTTGAATAATGTAAAGAAGGAGATTTTCCCCCTCATTATATATGTTATACCTCTCTAAAGCATGGCCAGAGCATCCATTCACACTGCTAAAGCCCAGCAAAAAAGCACATCAGCACCACAGTGATAGTAGATGAATAGTGAATGGTGGGCTCATCTGTACATAACTAATATTGAGCTTTAAAATCACTTCAGTTTTCTACACATTTTAATTAATTTGTGCAATTCATGTATAGTACTATTTAATGGATAATGTCCGGTTGCTGTTTGTTTACATTACTATGACTTGTTCAACCCTGTTTCTTGACTTCCTCAGCATGTTTCTTGCATCAGTGTAATAAAGCACATTGAACATCCATGTATGTACAACAGTCTGACATCCATGATACATGTGTAAAGGTCCATTTTTACTGGCACTTGCAATTAGGTCATTAATGTGGATATGTTACAGGCATTCGTGTTAATAAATTGGCCCATGTACAACCTGCTCTGCATGTCTCATCTTAAGTACACACTGCACTCTTCACTCAGACAAACTACTGCACACCGAAAAACATATATTATCATTCTTATTCGTGGTAATGGTGGTTTACTGTACAACATATCAGCCTAGAGAACACAAACTGTGATAATGAGGCCATCTTGTGGCGGCAGTGCAATTATACCAATGCTCCTTTAGAGCAAGACAGCATCCAAATACAAAAACAGAGCGGGAAGAAGGAGACCCTTTTTACATTCGTTACTAGTTTCATAATTTGCCATGTAATCCCTATTCAGTATCTGACTACATTTCAAAGTACTCTGACCCAGCCCTCTTCATTAACATGGCTACATTTCCTGAAAAGAACCCAGCACGTTGTGCAGCCTCCGGAGTGACCAACAGGAGGCAACAGCAGACTCTCCCAACCGGATCACAGCAAGGAAGTCAAACAAACCCAAATGTGTTGATCGCGTCAGAGAAGCAGACATGGCCACGCTACAGCATCTGAACACGTTTATCTGTGAGCGGCTCACAGCGGCGGCTGTGGAGATTTTCGGGGCGGTGGAGGAAACGTTGATAGAGTACCAGGCAGAAGTCAGCCGATCCAAGCGGGAGTTAGGTCACCTGAGAACGCTGTTGCACTGGCCTGAAGTCAGATTACATAAAGCTAGACCAGGTGTGTGGATTGAATCACTTAATGGTAATCATTAGGCTGCAGCCTCATCATTATCTCTACAGCTAATATGATGAGGCTGCAGCTCCCTTCATTTTTTGCTTTCAAAAATGTGACTGACTGCCTATTTTCCATGAGGATGTTTTATGAAGATAAAAAAGCGGCGTGGTTCAGATGATGTGGTGTATATTAAAACCAAGAATCCGTGTCTACATGACTGAATGATCTCCCTTTATGCACTCTCGTGTCATTCAGCAGCTCATCGGGTCGGTCCTCATTGCTGCGAGAAGGAGGCTTCTCCTGAGCGCTGCCATGAGGAGGAGTGGACCCCAGACGTGAGCCCGGATCACCCGTGCACCCTGCATGTTGAAGAGGAACCTGACCAGAGGGCTGATCAGCAAGGACTGTGCTGTGGGCAGCAGTGTGATACCACCAGGTGTCCTCACTTTGTGAAAAGAGAAGGTCACGAGCAGACACCCTCACGCCTCTACAGAATATTAACTGTTGAACAGACAGCAGATATCAAAGCTGAGTCTGATGGTCGCGTGTTAATAGCATCTCCATCAACCTTGGAGGCCGAGATCCTCTGTGGAATAAATCCAGACTCTCCTGGACTTCAGCGAGAAACTCTAAAAGGTGAGTGGGGCGGAGGCTGGCAAAATGTTACAGCTAAACCTTTTTTAATGTTTTGTAACTATACCCATCTGCATGCTGGAGTGTGGTTATGCATTTGTGTGTATAAACGCTCTCTATATTCAAACAATTTGATTTGGGTTTGTCAGGTCGCATGTCACATCTGGCAATGCAAAAACTGCATCACAGAGATAATATTTCACAATAGAATGTATATGTATATTCATGTTACATGGTCATCAACAACAAGGTGAAGCAACTCCCCAAAATGCAACAATAGGTGTTCATCTTTACTTTTGTTTAAATACCCCAAACAAAGGTGAAATGATCCAGAGTTATATGCATGTTTGTGTATTTGTCAAAAGGTATTCTTTTTAAATATTATATTTTCACATCTTTATCCTTGCAGATCCTCCTGAGATCACTCAGCGTGAGCGAGATGTGCTTGATGAGCAGCAGTACGTTGAACAAGACCGGAGCCCCTGTCAGGACTACGAGGACCCGGATGCCCCTCAGATCAAAGTGGAAAAGTTTACATCATCTAGTCCTCAGGAAGATACTGACCACGACTACAAACTCCCTCTTCAGTCACAGAGCAGTGTTCATGTTGAGCCTCATTCTTCAAGCCACAGCCAGACTCTGACCAACAAAACATCTTACACAGCAGAGCGAGAGAGAAGAGAAGGAGAAGGCTGCAAACTGTCTCGACTGGCCAGAGTTTCTCAGTCTTTCTATTCTGTAAATCAAAGTGAATGTGATATAGAGAATACAGATGGTGCGGTGAATGGAGAATGGATTAAAACGTTCACACCAACAGGAACGAGGCAAAAGAAAAGGCACAACTCCAACTTGCTTAGTGAGAAAGGAGACTGGACTATTGGACTGGAAGAAGACATAAATGATCTCAACAGGGAGAGAAGACACATTTGTCCCATCTGTGCGAAACGTTTTAAAAATTCTGGCCACTTGAAGGATCATGTGAGAATCCACACAGGAGAGAAACCGTACCAGTGTAAGGAATGTGGCGTGAACTTCAAACAGAGGGGAACTTTGACTTTGCACACGAGAATCCACACGGGGGAACGGCCATATCAGTGCACCGACTGTGGTCGGCGCTTCATTCGGAAACACGACATGAAGAAACACAGGGTGACACATACGAGGGAAAGACCCCACCTGTGCATGGTGTGTGGTAAAAGCTTTAAAAGGAAGTGCGACCTAAACACGCATCTAAAGGTCCATGCAGAGGACAAAATGGATCAACCATTTTGATTGCTTAAATACTGTGCAGCACCCAGATAGTGATGTATGGAAAACATGGATTGGATACTTTATTAGTATGTTTACTGGAGTGAATAATGCTATATGTGTATTTAGGAGCCAGCTTAACAAAACATTTCAAATCTAACTGAAATGATCATTTTCATCATCTCAACAGCAAAAACAGGTTTAACAGTTTAACATGTGATTTTTAGTTGATGGATAAATACATTTGATACTATGTAGACATTAGCTTTTCACTATCACTTTTTTACTTGGTCTAGACATGCTAATTATGGAAGCTAGGCTGTACTCATTAGATTGTGTTTTGGAGATTACTGATCTTCCTTTTTTTATTAATTTAAAGTGAGGATGATGGCTATATTTCATGGTGTTGCCAGGATATATTAAAACTGCCAGAGGCCCAGTGATAAAGCCACATTAAAATAAAGAAAAAGTACAGTAAACCTCCAACGTGCAGTGAGGGGTGTTGTGTCCAGAGATGTTGATAAACTGATATTCATATTTGGGTTTGGGATTACTATGGGCAGCCAGAAGAAAAACATTGTGTTCATGTGGGCACCAGCTCTCTCAGGAATCCTGGGAAATGAGAAAGTATAATGACTATGAACCACCCAGGGAATATGAAGACATGCAGATTGATGCATAATCTGAAAATAATGTGAATTTTATTTGAGAAAATAAAAACAAAGTGAATTTGGCAGTTGAGAAAGAAAAGCATACAGGTTAATGATAAATGCTGTAACACTTTAAGTGTTTAACCACCAAAAAAAACAGAGAGGCTGAGTCTGGTGAATGGTCAGACATACTGCACTATGGAGCTGTTTCTTTTCATGAAATGTGAATATTTTTGCTCAGACGAAAATAACTGTCCACTAGCAGTCCGCTGCAACTCAAAACTGTGTAAAATATATTGGTTTAAATTAAAATTAGGACTTACAACCTGAAGTTTGTGAACAAGTAAAGTCTCACCTGCCTACATTACTGACAACTCATGTCTGCAGAACAATATCATACCTGCCAGCCGGATCTACTGGATCTACAGCGTATGAAATGAAAGTCAAGGAAACGAAACTTAATTTAGGTTTCATTTCCTTTTTTCGACCGCACACCTGAAGAATCCACAGTTGGCGCACTTGAGCTTTAATTGCCATCCGAGCAGCTGACTCTTTAAGGCAACAAGTAGTTTTACTTAAAAGGTGAATACGTTAGCGGTTTTTAAACACCGTTTCTCTCCAGGATTCAAGCCGTCATCACCATGAACACTCTGAACCAACAGTATGAGGAGAAGGTGCGTCCC